GTTGAGGGTATTATGCTAAGTGAATTAAGTCAGAGGGAGAAGGTCAAATACCATATGATCTCACTCATGAGTAGAAGATAAAAACAACAATAAACAAACACATAGACACAGAGATTGGATTGGTAGTTGCCAGAGGGGAAGGGGGGAGGGAGGAGGGCGAAAGGGATGATGAGGCACATGTGTGTGGTGATGGATTGTAATTAATATTTAGGTGGTGAGCATGATGTAATCTATGCAGAAATAGAGGTATAATGATGTACACCTGAAATTTATTTATACAATATTATAAGCCAATGTTACCACAATAAAAAAAAATTCAACACTCATTCTTGATGCAATAAAAATTGATAGATAGGATTTTTAAAAATTTTTATTACAATAACGTTGGTTTATAACACTATATAAATTTCAGTGTACATCATTATATTTCTATTTCTGTGTAAATTGCATCATGTTCACCACCCAAAGACTAATTACAATCCATCACCATACACATGTTCCTAATCACCCCTTTTGCCCTCCTCCCTGCCCCCTTGCCCTCTGGTAACCACCAATCCAATCTCTGTCTCTATGTGTTAGTTTGTTGTTGTTTTTGTCTTCTATTTATGAGTTAGATCATATGGTATTTGACATTCTCCCTCTGAGTTATTATAGCATAATACTCTCAAGGTCCATACATGTTGTCACAAATGGCTGGATTCCATCCTTTTTTATGGCTGAGTAGTATACCACATCTTCTTTATCCATTCGTCCCTTGATGGGAACCTAGGTTGCTTCCAAGTCTTGGCTATTGTGAATAATGCTGTAATGAACATAGGGGTGCATATATCTTTACTCATTCGTGTTTTCATGTTCTTTGGATAAAAACCTAGCAGTGGAATATCTGGATCGTGTGGTAGTTCTATCCTTAATTTTTTGAGGAATCTCCATACTGTTTTCCATAGTGGCTGCACCAGTTTGCACTCCCACCAGCAGTATATGAGGGTTCCCTTCTCTCTACATCCTCTCCAACATTTATTTCCTGTCAGGTTAATTACAGCCATTCTGACACGCATGGAGTGACATTGTAGTTTGGATTTGCATTTCCCTGATAATTAGTGATGTTGAACATCTTTTCATATGCTTGTTGGCCATCTGTATATCTTCTTTGGAGAAATGTCTGTTCAGATCTTTAGCCCATTTTTTAATTGGGTTGTTAGTTTTCTTTTTGTTGAGATGTACAAGTTCTTTATATATTTTGGGTAATAACCCCTTATCAGATATATGGTTTGCAAATATCCTTTCCCAATTGTTAGGTTGCTTTTTCATTTTGTTGGTGATTTCCTTTACTGTTCAGAAGAATTTTAGTTTGATGTAGTCCCAATTGTTTATTTTTTCTATTGTTTCCCTTGCCCGGTCAGACGTGGTACTTGAAATGTGCTGCTAAGATCGATGTCAAAGAGCGTACTGCCTATGCTTTCTTCTAGAAGTTACATGGTTTCAGGTCTTACATTCAAGTCTTTAATCCATTTTGAGTTAATTTTTGTGTATGGTGTAAGATAATGGTCTACTTTCAATCTTTTCCATGTGGCTGTCTAGTTTTCCCAACACCATTTGTTGAAGAGACTTTCCTTTCTCCATTGTATGTTCTTAGCTTCCTTGTCGAAAATTAGCTGTCCATAGATGTGTGGGTTTATTTCTGGGCTATCGATTCTGTTTCATTGATCTGTGTGTCTGTTTTTGTGCCTGTACCATGCTGTTTTGATTCCATGCTGTTTTGTTTGGAGCATTTGGAAATAGCTTTGTAGTATATTTTGTAATCATGGTGTGTGATACCTCAAGCTTTCTTCTTTTTACTCAGGATTCTTTTGGCTATTTGGGATCTTTTGTTGTTCCATATAAATTTTATAATTCTTTGTTCTATTTCTGTGAAAAGTGTCATTAGAACCTTGATAGGGATTGCATTGAATCTGTAGATTGCTTTAGGAAGTATGGACATTTTAATTATGTTAATTCTTCCAATCCAAGAGCTCAGAATATCTTCCCATTTCTTTGTGTCTTCTTCTATTTCTTTCAAAAATGGTTTATAGTTTTCAGTGTACATGTCTTTCACCTCTTTGGTTAAGTTTAGTCCTAGGTATTTTATTCTTTTTGTTGCAATTGTAAATGGGATTTTATTCTTAATTCCTCTTTCTGCTACTTCGTTGTTAGTGTATAGAAACGCAACTGATTTTTGCATGTTGATTTTGTATCCTGCAACTTTACTGTATTCATTTATTATTTCTAAAAGTTTTTTGGTGGATTCTTTAGGGTTTTCTCCTTATAAAATCATCTCATTTGCAAATAGTGACAGTTTCACTTCTTCCTTTCCAATTTGGATTGCTTTTATTTCTTTTTCTTGCTTGATTGCTCTGGCTAGGACTTCCAATGCTACGTTAAATAGGAATAGTGAAAGTGGGCATCCTTGTCTGGTGCCTCTTTTTAGAGGGATAGCTTTCAGTTTTTCTCCATTGAGAATGATATTAGCTGTGGGTTTGTCATATATGGCCTTTATTATGTTGAGGTACTTTCCTTCTATACCCATTTTATTCAGAGATTTTATCATAAATGGATGCTGTATCTTGTCAAATGCTTTCTCTGCATCTATTGAGATGATCATGTGATTTTATTCTTCATTTCATTCATGTGGTGTATCACGTTGATTTATTTGTGGATCTTGAACCATCCCTGCATCCCTGGAATAAATCCCACCTGATCATGGTGTATAATCTTTTTAATGTATTGTTGTATTCAATTTGCTAGTATTTTGTTGAGGATTTTTACATCAATGTTCATCAGTGATATTGTCTTGTAATTTTCTTTTTTTGTGTTGTCCTTCTCTGGTTTTGGTATCAGCGTGAAGAAAGCTTCCCCTCCTCTTCAATTTTTGGAAGACTTTGAGAAGGATAGGTATTAAGAGTTCTTGGAATGTTTGGTAGAATTTACCAGGGAAGCCATCTGGTCCTGGACTTTTATTTTGGGGGAGGTTTTGGATTACTGTTTCGATCTCCTTACTGGTGATTGGTCTCTTCAAATTCTCTATTTCTTCTTAATTCAGTTTTGGAAGGTTGTATAATTCTAAGAATTTATCCATTTCTTCTAGATTATCCAATTTGTTGGCATATAGCTTTTCATAGTATTCTCTCATAATCTTTTGTATTTCTGAAGTGTCTGTTGTAATTTCTCCTTGTTCATTTCTGATTTTCTTTATTTGAGCCTTCTCCCTTTTTTTCTTGGTAAGTCTAGCTAATGGCTTGTCAATTTTGCTTACCTTTTCAAAGAACCAGCTCTTAGTTTCATTTATTTTTTCTATTGTTTTTTTAGTCTCTATTTCATTTATTTCTGCTCTGATTTTTAATATTTCCTACCTTCTACTGATTTTGAGCTTTGTTTGTTCTTCTTTTTCCACTTACCTTAGGTCCACTGTTAGATTGCTTATTTGAGATTTTTCTTGTTTGTTGAGGTGGGCCTATATTGCTATAAACTTCTCTCTTAGAACCGCTTTTGCTGCATCCCAGAAGTTTTGGGCAGTTATATTTTCATTTTCATTTGTCTCCAGGTATTTTTTGATTTCTTCACTGAACCAGTTGTTGTTCAGTAGCATTTTGTTTAATCTCCACATGTTTGTGGCTTTTCTGATTATCTTCCTGTAGTGGATTTCTAGTTTCATACCATTGTGGTCAGAAAAGATCCTTGGGGGTCCGGAATGGTGGCGCAAGCAGTTAAATGCACATGCTCCGCTTTGGCAGCCTGGGGTTCACAGGTTCAGACCCTGGGTGTGCACTCATGCACTGCTTGTCAAGCCATGCTGTGGTGGCATCCCATATAAAGTAGAGGAAGATGTGAGCCCAGGGCCAATCTTCCTCAGCAAAAAAAAAGAGGAGGGTTGGCATCTGATTTTAGCTCAGGGCTGATCTTCCTTACACACCAAAAAAAGAAAGAAAAGATCGTTGGTATTGTTTCAATTTTCTGAAATTTATCGAGGCTTGTTTTGTGACCTAATATGGGATCTATCCTGGAGAATATTTCATGTGCATTTGAAAAGTATATGTATTCTGCAGTTGTTGGATGGAATGTTCTGTATATCTGTCTACTAAGTCCATCTGGTCTAATGTGTCATTTAAGGCCAATGTTTCCTTATTGATCTTCTGTTTGGATGATCTATCCATTGGTATAAATGGAGTGTTATTAAAGTCTCCTACTATTATAGTGTTGCTGTCTATTTCTCCTTTTGTTTCTGTTGATAATTGCTTTATATATTTAGGTGCTCCTATGTTGGATACATAGATACTTACAAGTGTTATATCCTCTTGTTGGATTGTTCCCTTTATCATTATGAAGTGCCTTTCTTTGTCTCTTGTTACAATTTTTGTTTTAAAGTCTATTTTTTCTGAGATAAATATTGCTACCCCAGCTTTCTTTTTGTTGCCATTTGCATGGAGTATCTTTTTCCATCCCTTCACTTTCAGTTTGTGAGTGTCTTTACGTCTGAAGAGTGTCTCTTGTATGCAGGATATACATGGGTCTTGTTTTTTTATCCAGTCAGTCACCCTGTGCCTTTTGATTGGAGCATTTAGTCCACTGACATTTAAAGTAGCTATTGATAGGAATGTACTTATTGCCATTGTGTTACTTTTTTTCTGGGTGTTTTAGTAGTTCTTCTCTGTTCCTTTCTTCTTCTCTTGCTCTCTTCCCTTGTTTGATGGCTTTCTTTAGTATTATGTTTGGATTCCCTTCTCTTAATTTTTTTGTGTATTTATTATAGGTTTCTGGTTGGTGATTACCATGAGGTTCATATATAATAACCTATGTATATAGCAATCTAAAATAAGTTGATGGTCTCTTTATTTTGACCCCTTTCTAAAAGTTCTCCTCTTTTACTCCCCTCCTCCCACATTTTATGTTTTTATATCATATCTAAACTCTTTTTTTGTGTGTGTTTCCATTACTCTCTTATCATGGAAATAGATAATTTTAGTACTTTTGTCTTTTGACCTTCATATTAGCTTCATAGGTGGTTGATATGCTATCTTTACTCTATATTTGCCTTTACCAGTAATTTTATTGCTTTTTTTTTTTGATAATTTTCTTATTCCTATTTGTGGTCTTCTCTTTTCCACTTAAATGAGTCACTTTAGCATTTCTTGTAAGGCTGGTTTCTTGGTGATAAACTCCTTTAGTTTTTGCTTGCCTGGGAAACTCTTTATCTCTCCTTCCATTCTGAGTGATAACTTTGCTGGGTAGAGAATTCTTGGCTGTAGGTTTTTTCCTTTTAGCACTTTATTTATTTTTGGTAAGGAAGATTAGCCCTGAGCTAACATCTGCTGCCAATCCTCCTCTTTTTGCTGAGGAAGATTGGCCCTGAGCTAACATCTATGCCCATCTTACTCTATTTTATATGTGAGATGCCTGCCACAGCATGGCTTGATAATCAGTGCATAGGTCCACTCTCGGGATCTGAACCTGCGAATCCCGGGCTGCCAAAGCAGAGTGCATGAACTTAATCAACCACTATGCCCTGGGCCGGCCCCCCTTTTAACACTTTAAATATATCATGCCACTCCCTTCTAGCCTGTAAGGTTTCTGCTGAGAAGTCAGTTGATTGCCTTATGGGGTTTCCTTTGTATGTAACTTGTTGCCTTTCTCTTGTAGCTTTTAGGATTCTCTCTTTATCTTTAATTCTTGACATTTTAATTGTAATGTGGCTTGGTGTAGGCCTCTTTGGGTTTATCTTGTTTGGTGCTCTCTGTGCTTCCTGTTCCTGGATGTCTGTTTGGTTCCTTAGGTTAAGAAAGTTTTCAGCTATTATTTCTTCAAATAGATTCTCTGCACCTTTGTCTCTCTCTTCTCCTTCTGGGACACCTATAACATGGATGTTAGTGCATTTGATGTTGTCCCAGAGGTCCCTTAGACTGTCCTCATTCTTTAAATTCTTTTTTCTTTCATCTGTTCAGCTTGGGTGATCTCCTGTAGTCTTTCGTCCAGCTCACTGATCCTTTCTTCTGTATCATCTACTCAGCTATTGAGTCTCTCTAGTGAATTTTTCATTTCCAGTATTGTATTCTTCATTTCTGATTGGTTCTTTTTTATTTTTTCCAATTCTTTCTTGAAGTTCTCGCTGCAGTTCATCCATTCTTCTCCCAAGATCAGTGAGCATCAGAATGACTTTTAGTTTGTACTCTTCTCAGGGAGATTGTTTATCTCTGTTTCATTTAGTTCTTTTTCTGTGGTTTTGTCCTATTCCCTTACTTGGAACGTATTCCTTTGTCTCCTCATTTTGCCTCTTTCTCTGTGCTTATAGCTATGTATTACCTCGGTCAGTTATGTCTCCTGATCTTGGAGAGGTGGCCTTATGTAAGAGATGCCTTATGAGCCCTAGCAGTGTGCTTCCCTCTTGTCACCAGTTCCAAATGTTCCAGGAGTGTCCCTTGTGTGGGCTACATGTGTCGTTCTGTTTTGGCATGGTTGATCTTGCTGCAGGTGCCTGGGGAGGCTAGGCTGTCCCCCTGGCCGGCTGGTTATAATGCTCAGCTCTGTGTGGCTGCTATGGGCTCTTTAGTCACTTTATCAGTTGTGGGGATCCCCAACACAGTTGGCTGCAAGGTCTAATAGCACATTCCTGTTATAGTTCTTCTGTTAAGTGAGTAGGCCCCCAGTGTGGCTGGTTGCTAGGCTCAGGGGTTTACAACTTCTGTAGGCCTCTGGCCTGCAAGGCTGTTGTCAGCTCTCTCAGGAGTGCTGCTGGGTGGGGCCAGCCCCAGCCATGGGAGCACCCAGTTGTTTCAGGCTTTGGAAGGTTGGGCTGATCCCCTATGTGGATCTTTGAGAAGTACAGGTCTGCTGCAGCTGACAAGCCCTACCACCCTCCGGGCCACACACCCCCTCAACACAGTCCTGCCTTGTTCACATGCCCCAACCCACTGAAGCAGACCCAGTCGCCCCACTGCAGGGCCCCCATACTCTCCACCAACACAGGCATGCCTCTCATGCACCCCCTGTCCCACAGAGGTGGACCCACTCACCTGACTGTAGAGGGTTCCAGGCACCCTGCCTCTGTGGGTCCACAAGTTGCTCAGGGCTTGCTGTTGGGTGGGACCAGTCCCTTGGGTAGGCTGCCTGCCCTCGCTGAGCTGGATTAAATCAGTGCTCTAGTGGATGGGGCAGACCCCTGGGCTAACAGGCCAGGGGAAGATCTCCAATGGCATCTGCCAACGTCTGTGTCAGCATGCCTGTACTAGGTCAGAATAATGGCTGCTGCCAATGTCTCAGTCCCTGGAGAGGTCTCACCTCTCACTGAGATGCACCATGAGCCTATCAAGTGAGTCTCTTTTTACCAAAGGACTGTGCTTTTTTTCTGGTGATTTTAGGTTCCTTTCTCAAATGGGTGAATTTGTGTGTGGGCCCTTTAAAAGTAGGCTTTTTTTCCCCTTATGTCTGATAGCTTTCCTGGGGGTATACCCTGTTGTTGTTGATAGCCAGCAAAGCCAGATATTATGACACTCATCTCAGTTGTGCTGTGTCCAAAAGGTCCTTATTGTGGTAACGCTCCCCTGCTCAGATCCCCCACTCCTCCAGGGAAGGCTTCATACCTTAAGATTGCTGCCAGCTGGCCATGAAGTGCTGCAGCTGGATTATGGCTTTTTTCTCTCCAGAAAGGAATTTCTACCTCTTCCACTTCAGTCAACACTGTCCCTTGTAGTAGGGGTTCTTTTTATCCAGTTTTCAATTCTCTCTCAGGGGTAATCGTTCCAAGAGTATTTGTAAATTTTTGTGTCTGTGGGAGGAGGTGTGTTCAGAGTCTGCCTATGCCACTGTCTTGACACTGTCCTCTGAATCCCTGATAGATAGTTTTTTAATAGAAGAAGCACTAGAGGCACTTCCACTAATAACAGGAACTAGTTAAGGTTGTCCACTCTCTCCACTATTATTCAACATTTTACCAGAAGTATGAGCCAATGCAATGACATGAGAAATTCATTAATGGCAAAGGGACTGGAAAAAAAGATGTAATATTATCTCTATTTGCAGATAATATGAAAATGTACCTGGAAAACTCTAGAGAAACAATGGTAAAGATAATTCAAATAATAAAATATTTCATTCAGGCTATAAAATTGACATAAATAAATCAATAGCCTTCATTTACAAAAAAATTAACCAAATAGAGAATACAGTGGTAGAGAAAACCCCATTAACAATAGCAAGAAAGAGATTAAAATACTTAGGAATATATTTAACCAAAAAAATGCGCAAAACTTGTGATATCAACTTTCAAACCCTCATAAAAGGCACAAACATAGACTCTAACAAAAGGGAAGACATCCCTTGTTTTTGATAGGAAGACTCAACATCATAAAGATGTCAGTTCTACCTAAATTTTTAAATTTAATGCAATCTCAGTAAAAATGTCAACATACTTCTTTATTGAACTAGACAAGTTGATACTAAGCTTCATATGGAAAAATAAACATTCAAGAATCTCCAGGAAAATACTAAAAAAGAAAAGCTACAAAGGGGACCAGCCCTACCATGCATTAAAACACACTATAGAGCCTCTATAATTAAAACAGTGTGGAATTGGCTTATGAATAGACTCACCAGAGGAATAGAATAGAAAATCCAGAGATAGATCCAAAGAAAAATGGAATGGAACTTTGGTATATGATAAAGGTGAGATCTCAATACATTGAGACAAAAATGGACTTTTAAAATAAATAGTGCTTGGACAACTGGATAGCAATTTAAAGAAGATAAAATTTAATACATACTTCACACCATATGAAAGAATAAACTTCAAATAGATCAGGAATCGAAATGTGAAAAAAATACCATTAAAGTGTTAGAAGCAAAAATGGGTGAATTCCTCTTTAGCCTGGGTGTAGGGAAAAGTTTTTAAACTATGACTCAAAATCCAGATGCAATGAAAGAAAAGGTTGAGAAATTTGACTACATAAAATTTTTAAAAAGATAACATCTGCATGGTCAAAAAAAACCCCAGCCTAAATAACATCAAAATTCAACTGGTAAATTAGGAGAACTTATTTGCAACATAAACAACAGACAAACAGCCAAAATCCCTAATATATACAGAACTCTTAAAAATTTAGGGGCAGAAGATGAAAGAGAGTTTTTCTTTCAGAAATCCCATTTTACTAGTGTTTCTGCAGTTTGCTTTTTTCTCTCAACAGTAAGGTTTAGGGCTTTATCACTCTCAAATACAAATAAAGCTAGCTCATTCTGTTTAATTCCTTCATAGTAGAGTATTGCACAGTGTGGCATAGTTAATGAACCATTTTGCTTTTGAGGATATTAATTGATTTAGCTCATATCTGTTAAGCACCTACTATGTGTCAATTACCACTGGATACCCTAGAAAATAATAAGTAAAAAAATAGACCCTGCCCTCATTGAACTGCTATTTTAATGGTGGGGACAGACAAGAAAGAAATGCTTAATCCAGTATAAGAATCCTCTTCTGCTCTTCACATCCCACCCAAGCTGCTGTTCTATATCTCCTTCAAGACTGAGATAGCAGGTTACCCTAACTGCCTCTACCCACATCTCCGTACCACCTTCCCAATCAGATGCATTCTGACTTACCATGTTACCAATACATCTTTGGTCACCATCAGTGACCTCCAACATGAACATCCCAATGGATGTTTATCAGTCCTCATCTCATTTTAGTTAAAATCTCTGCAATCATTGACACTTGGTGACATTCTCCTCTCCCTTATTTTTTATTAATTCCCTCTCAGGCCAATATTCAGTACTCCTTGATGAAGATTGAGCAGCCAAACCCTTCTCACCAACTCCAATCCCCCATATCCAATTGACTGCTAGACTTTTCCCCTGGAATATCTTTGATGCACCTCAAAT